AGGAGGAGAGAGAGAGAGAGAGAGAGAGAGGGCAATATGAATTACCTCTGGTCCAGTCCTTATAGCGGTCAATCTTATCTTCGTATAAACTCAGTCTCTCCTGAATAATGGCATAATTCAAAAATTTAAACCTTATCAAATTCCTTTAGAAAGTTAGAACAGGCAGAACTTCCTTTATGGAACTTACAAGCTCTGTTTTGACAGGATGATTATCTGGGTGCACTCCATTACATCTTAATCTCACTGCAAGTGACCAGTAAATAAATAAATTGTATGAATATCTAATCACGGAAATTTAATAAGAAAACTAAATTAACTCAAATAGGTGCACAACGAGAAAAATACAAGAGATTGACAATTCAGCAGAATTTGTAGACAAAAACACTCATCAAAAAATTTAAAAAAAAAACAAATAAATATACATAGCAAACTAAAACAGTTCAAGTTCATAAAATCAAACTCCAAAGAAAAAAATTAGTAAACAACAAATTCTCAATTCAAGAGAGCTAAAATTGTAACCTGGAAAAATCAGCGACCAATATATACTCGATAGGGCAAAAAAACTATGGTAGAATAGAAAAACAACCAAATGAAACACTTGAAAGAAAAAAAAACGCAGTTGATAGATTAACAAATAGTTCGAAACATTGCTCCTGAAATATATCATATCACGAACTAAGCAGGATTTCTACTGGTTAGAGGTCAAAAAATCAGAAGAAAACAACAATAAAGTCGATGTTTTCTTTCACTTTGGGGGAATTAAATTCAAGTTTTTTATGAAATACCGCAATGATATAATCAAGATAAATAGCAAAACAACACAAGAACAAAGACCAGTGTGGTGAGCTTACACGTGTAGAGAGATGAAACCGCCTTGGCTAGAGTGAGAAAAACATTGGCTCGTTGAAGAGGAGGCAAATAAGCGAGTACATCTGCGTCGCAGGCCCCCATGAATTGGACCATGTTAGCTCTGAGGTGGTCTACATGGATTAGGGTTTCTGAGACTGACTCTAAAACTTGCTCAGGAACACTCTCCCCCATTCTCTCTCTCTCTACTTTGCAGCACTACTGTCAAACCCCAACAAGACTTTTACAAGCAAGTTTCAGCAACAATGGAACCACCTTCTTTCTCTCTCTCTAAATGACTCTCCCCTATCTCTCTCTCTCTCTCTTAAATTTCTCTTAAAGCTCTCTCACTGCAAGGGTCTGTGCAAAAATCTCCCGCGTTAGGGTTCCGAAAATGAGCGGCTACTTCTAAAACTCCATCTTGAAACGTGGCGTGTGTTACCTCCTGACGCTTTGGGTGGAACCCGCTAAGCATAATCCGCCTATTGATTGGACGGTGATAACCTAATGGCCGCGTTGTTGTTGTGATAATATGTATCATACTGTAGCGATACGAATATATTCCAAATTCAAGTAATTGAGTATCAATAGATGACATTGACGTTAGGAGTAACTGATATAACATGGATTCACATTTGTAAGCGTTTGTTTCTTAATACTTTGTATGTACCATCAATTATCCATTGTATTCAAGAAGATTTGAACATATTAATTTTAGGTAATTATGATTTGTGGGTTTTTTATTTTTTTGGAAAAATTATAAAAAATTATGTAAGATATATTTTTTATGCAACTTATCCCGACTAACCTTTTCTCCCACTTTTTTCCAAAAAAATAAACTTTTTATATAAATACCCCCCAACCATCCCAAAAATAAAAAAAGACCAAACTACCCTTACTTTACCCATTACCCATACCTCTTTCCAACACTATGTAAGTGTGCTCCAATACTACGTAGGTGCGCTTCGACAGTGTAACATAGTGCTTTGAGCATTGCATAAGTGCGCTCCGACAGTAGAGCATTTTGAGTCACAAGGCTCCGGCACTGCCTAAGTGCGCTCCAGCAATGTGCTACCGAAAGGGCACAATGCTTTGGCACTTCGTAAGTGCACTTCGACACTTTGTAAGTGCACTCCGGTACTTCGTAAGTGCACTCCGGCAGTGTAACACAGCTCTCCGAAACTGTTTAAGTACGCTCCAACAGTGTGACACAACGCTCTAGCATTGCGTAAGTGCGCTCCAGTAGTGGAGCATTTTGAGTCACAGGGCTCTGACACTATTTAATTGCATTCTGGCAATGTGCTACGGGAATGACATTTTCGTCTAAAAAATGAACTTTTTCCTTATGGGTATTTGCATAAAAAGTTGGTGTTTTGGAAAAAAGAGAGAGAAAGTTGGCTGGGAGGTAAGTTGCATAAAAAGTATATTTTGAGGGGGTTTTTTGTAATTTTTCCTTCTTTTTTATAAGGGAAGTTGAGCCTTAGAAATCGAACTTAATAATTCAAGTTTGTGAGAGTTTTTTTAGGGGAAAATATCTTATTTTCCCCTATTTTTAACTTCTTTGTCTCATGAGACTCCAGAATTGAAAATATTACTTGTAAGCAAAAGGTCTTCATCTTTTCTATCTTACAACCCCTAGAGCCCTTTGATCATAATTTTTTTACCCAAACAAACACTAAAATGACACCCTATTCAAACTCCATCTCTTTCTAAAACTCTATCTCTCTCTTCACTTCTCAGTGAGTTTACCAACCAAGGGGTTTAGCTTGAGCTCGAACACGAGCACACCTTCTTATGTATATGAGAGAGATAGAGATGGAGTTTCGATTTTAAATAGAGATGAAATTTTAGAGAGAGACAGATATGGAGTTTGAGTTTTAAGGAAAGAGACAAATGTGCGAGAGATGGAGTTTGCGTTTTAGAGAGAGATGAAGTTTTGAGATAAACACGATGATACAAGAGAGAGATATGGAGTTTTAGAGAGAGAGAGATATAGAGTCATTTCATAAGTTGTTGAGATCAATAATGCATGGTCAAAAAGGTTTACGGTGGAAGATAGAAAAGATAGAGTCATTTTGCTTACAAGTAATATTTTCAATTATTAGGTGTGATGAGATATAGAAGTTAAAAATAAATGATAATATGATATTTTATCTTTATTTAGTCTGAATATAGTGTGGAAAAAGTAGAGGTGATTTTAATTTGTGAAAGACCGATGCCCTGGACAATTAAAGTAAGACACACCTTTAAATAGTGTCAAAAGATATTTCAGAGCTGGAAATTTTTATGATGGCCTTAATTTTTATTTTTATACAAGATGTGCTATTTGCAATACTTGAAATCAATGTTTATCATATCCATGGCCAACAGTCCTACATTTTGTCTCTGTGGGCCGAGAAGAAAAGGGGGGGGGCTCAGCGAGAAGAGGATTGCACCATGAGAGAACAAGGAGGTCAACCTGATTCAAATATACAACATGGATTATGGCAATGCAATGTAGTTGGACTCTCATGTCGATCCGAATGAATTAGTCTTTCCACAGACCACGGAGGTAAATCTTTACTTGCTAGGCAAGAGGGTAGCAAGTCACAAATTTTGTCTCGGTAGGACATGTATTTCTATTATATTAAGTAGTTAATATATTAAGTAGTTAACGGTGGGTTACCATCATCCTTTTTGTAGTGACGAATCTTGTATGTGTTCCCAAGAAAAGGAATAAGTCCATTTTTCGAGGTCTTAAAAGGGCGTGGAAACGCATAAGAACTCTTGAATAAAAATGGAAGGGAGATGTAGCTCCAGTTCCTCCGGAAATGGTAAGATCTTTGGCGCAAGAAGAACGGGTTGATCCATATCATCTTGAATGGGTTCTGCTTCCTCCTGTTTTTTTTTAACAATACCGAGTCCGGTTCTTCTCCTACCAGTATCAAATAGAACATGCTGAACAAAATTTTCTTCATGCAAAACCTGCTCGATTTAGATCGGGAAAATCGTACGGATTTTTTGAAACCATGTGCTGGCTCAAATCCATAGTCAATCCTATTTTCGATAGGATATATGCAGTTGACAATTGAATCCAATTTTTCCCATTATTTTCGTATCCGTAATAGTGCGAAAAGAAGGCCCGGCTCCGAGTTGTTCGGGAATAGTGGTGTTGAGTTTCTCAACCCTTTGACTTAGGATTAGTCAGTTCTATTTCTCGACTCGATAGGTGTAGAGAAGGGATATAACTCAGCGGTAGAGTGTCACCATGACATGGTGGAAGTCATCAGTTTGAGCCTGATTATCCTTAAACCAAATGCGAGCCTTTTTATTTTGACTTGCTCCCCCGCCGTGATCGAATGAGAATGGATAAGAGGTTCATGGGATTGACGTGAGAGGGTAGGAATGGTTATATTGCTGGGAGCGAACTCCAGGCTAATATGAAGCGCACGAATACAAGTTATGCCTTGGGATGAAAGACAATCCCGAATCAGCTTTGTCCACAAAGAAGGAAGCCATAAGTAATGCAACTATGAATCTCATGGAGAGTTCGATCCTGGCTCAAGATAAACGCTGGCGGCATGCTTAACACATGCAAGTCGGACGAGAAGTGGTGTTTCCAGTGGCAGACGGGCGAGTAATGCGTAAGAACCTGCCCTTGGGAGGGGAACAACAACTGGAAACGGCTGCTAATACCTCGTAGGCTGAGGAGCAAAAGGAGGAATCCGCCCAAGGAGGGGCTCGCGTCTGATTAGCTAGTTGGTGAGGTAATAGCTTACAAAGGCGATGATTAGTAGCTGGTCCGAGAGGATGATTAGCCACACTGGGACTGAGACACGGCCCAGACTCCTACGGGAGGCAACAGTGGGAAATTTTTCGCAATGGGCGAAAGCTTGACGGAGCAATGCCACGCGGAGGTAGAAGGCCCACGGGTCGTGAACTTCTTTTCCCGGAGAAGAAGCAATGACAGTATCTGAGGAATAAGCATCGGCTAACTCTGTGCCAGCAGCCGCGATAAGACAGAGGATGCAAGCATTATCCGGAATGATTGGGCGTAAAACGTCTGTAGGTGGCTTTTCAAGTCCACCATCAAATCCCAGGGCTCAACCCTGGACAAGCGGTGAAAACTACCAAGCTGGAGTATGGTAGGGGCAGAGG